ACCTGCTTCTAATGAAAATTTAATAAGGAGAGAACAGAAAGAACAGGTAAAAGGTGATTTTCAACAAGATAATGTCTGCGAGTTTTTCAGAATTGCTTAAAGTTACATATCCTTAGATTCAGAAATAATAGCGAATCCCAAGCTGAATAAGTAAAACAAATGAACACCTTAACACATTATAGTGTTACTGAGGTCACTAAAGAAAAAGAGAACTGTGGGCAGCCACAGGGAAAAGACAAACGACTTATGAAGGCACAACAGTAAGATTAATAGCAGATTTCTCAACATTAACAATGGAAGCAAGAAGTCAGTGGAAGAGTAACATCTGCAAAATGCTGAGACAAAGAGATTTTCAGGTTGATTTTTGACAAGTCTACATATATGCTATTTATAAGAGATAACAAAATGTTGAAAGAGGATGAAAAAATATATTCCAGGCAAGTAGATAGGAAGACACAATTTCATATAGATGTCAGTTCTCTAATCTGTGAATTCAGTTGCAATTGAATTGCAATTCTAATTAAAATTCAAACAGGATTTTTCTTGGACCTTGACAAGCTGGTTTTACATTTCAGTAGAAAAACATAGACAAGAATAACTAGTTTCAAAGACGCACAACGTTTGGGTTTACCAGGTATAACTACTCATTATAAAGGTCTAATAATTCAGAGTGGTATTGATGAAGGCACAGAAAAATAGATAAATGGTTTAGAGCAGAAATCACAGAAAAATGCCCATGCCTGTATAGAAATTGAAAAACATCAGAGTGCCATGGAAGATCAGTGGCAAAGAATGGTGTCCAGACAATTGGTTATTCATATGGGAAAAAAATAAAGCTGAATGTTCACATTATAAACAAAAATCAATTCCAGGGTTGGCTGAAGATCTAAATAGGAAAGATAAAAGTTTTGCACTTTTAGAAGAAAATGCTTATGATCTCAGGTTAGGGAAATATTTCTTTTTTTTTTTTTTTTTTTTTTTTTTTTTTTTGAGACGGAGTCTCGCTCTGCCGCCCGGGCTGGAGTGCAGTGGCAGGATCTCGGCGCACTGCAAGCTCCGCCTCCCGGGTTCACGCCATTCTCCTGCCTCAGCCTCAGGAGTAGCTGGGACTACAGGCGTCCGCCACCTCGCCCGGCTAGTTTTTTGTATTTTTTTTAGTAGAGACGGGATTTCACCGTGTTCGCCAGGATGGTCTCGATCTCCTGACCTCGTGATCCGCCCGCCTCGGCCTCTCAAAGTGCTGGGATTACAGGCTTGAGCCACCGCGCCCGGCCATATTTCTTATAAGTAACAAAAAGTGTAAATAACAATTTGATAACTTCACTGATACTAAATTTTAAAACTGTGCTCCAAAGACACAAACAGTAAAAAAAATAAGCTATTGACTCTGAGAAGGTATCATATAGTTTGAATGTCTTTTTCCCACCAAATCTCAGGTTGAAATTCAATTCCCGTGTTGGAAGTTGGGCCTGGTGGGAGGTGACTGGATCACGGGGACGGATCCCTCATGAATGGTTTAGCATCATCCCCTTGGTGATAAGTGAATTCTCACTCTTAGTTCCTGTGAGATCTAGTTGTTTAGAGTGTTGAACCCACCCCCACCATCTTTCTTGCTCCTGCTGTTGCCATGTGATATTGCCTGCTCCTCCTTTACCTTCTGCCATGATTGTAAGCTTCCTGAGGCCTCATCAGAAGCTGAGCAGATGTTGGTGCCATGCTTGTATAGCCTGCAGAACCATTGGCCCAGACACACTTCTGTTTTTTTATAAATCACCCAGTCTCAGGTGCTCTTAAAAGAACAAATGGACTAACACAAGATATATGCAACATATTTTGCTCATAAATATTAGTAGTAGATTTTATAAAGTATCCAAAATATATGGAGACCTACTATTAAAAAGACAGATAACCCAATAGAAAAAGACAGGCAAGGCCGGGCGCAGTGGCTCAAGCCTGTAATCCCAGCACTTTGGGAGGCCGAGACAGGTGGATCACGAGGTCAGGAGATCGAGACCATCCTGGCTAACACAGTGAAACCCCGTCTCTACTAAAAAATACAAAAAAACTAGCCGGGCGAGGTGGCGGGCGCCTGTAGTCCCAGCTACTTGGGAGGCTGAGGCAGGAGAATGGCCTGAACCCGGGAGGCGGAGCTTGCAGTGAGCTGAGATCCAGCCACTGCACTCCAGCCAGGGGGACAGAGTGAGACTCTGTCTCAAAAAAAAAAAAAAAAAAAAAGGAAATTCCCTAAAGAAAAAAAAAAAAAAAAAAAAAGAAAAAGACAGGCAATTCCCTAAAGGAAAAAACAAAATAGTAAATGAACATAGAAAAAGTTACTAGTAATCAGGAAAATGGACATTAAAAGCATAGTGAAATACTGCTTCACACCCTTCGGCTTGGCTAAAATTTTAAATCTGATAATAATGTGAAAATAAATATAGCTTAAAAGCTCTTGGAATCCCAAAACACTTTAAGCACTGAGAGAGATGTGACTGTGATCTGAGTCATGACTCAGATCATATATGATTACAACTTCTGTTTCTCAGATTATGGATTAACTTACTTTCTTATTTTTCTTGTTCTGTACAATAACTAGAGACAATTAAATGACACCAGGAACAACAACCTCCTGCTTTCCTAATTAATGACCTTTGTTATTGATTAACGTCCCCTTTGTTGTCCTGCTTTGCTGATCGCAGATGACAAACCTATCACTATTATACCCTTTATAGATATAAAAAAAAAATGCTAAATGTAGCATTCCCACAAACACTGCCTACCATCAATCAAAGTGCTATAACTATGTACCACCTTGTATGAAAACTGTTTTAATCTTGCTAAATCTACTCTGTCTCTCCCTATATATAAACGAAACCTTAACTTTCCTACTTTGAACTGCCAACTCCATTCCTTAGAGTTGGTTTCCTGGTGGACTATTCTCAAACTTTGCATTTGAATAAAGTCTTTTAAAATTAGATTCTAACCTGTTTGATTATTTCAGGGTGATAATACCAACAATTGATGTGGCTATGAAACAATTTACAGTAATGATCATATAAATTGGTAATCGTTTGGTAGAATAAGTTGAAAATATGTAATAAAGTTGAAAATACACATACGATAAGATGCAATAATTCCCTTTTTAGGTATGCACTGCAGACAAACCCTTGCACATGGCAGGAAACATGTCGAAGAATATCTAATGTATCATGCTGATACAGCAGCTAAAAAGAAATTATTTAGGCAGATAGTGAGGGTAAAGGAGTCCTTGGTAAGGCTGCCTTTTAAACAAAAAGCAGCCCCCAAATCATTTCTTTTCTAACAAAGAGCAGCCTGTAAAATCAAGCTGCAAACACAGATAAGCAAGCTGGAAGCTTATATGGGTGAATGCTGGCAGCTGTGCCAACAGGAAAAGGCTACCTCAGGACCAGGTATATTCAATATAGAGACTCCATCTTCCCTTTTCTTTGTCACCACGTGTGCAGTAAAGAAGCAGGCAACATGGCACCCACCACGTAGAGAACCCATCTGCACAGTAAAAGATTAGGGTGGGGCAGCCAGCTTCTTTGCACGCTATGCAAATGGCACACCCAGTCCTAACCAGTTCTTCGTGCGGTATGCAAATGGCACAACTGGTTTGACCAATCTTTTGTGCCCTAGGTAAATCAGACACCGCCTCCTCAAGCTCATCTATAAAACCTCCTGCACTTCACTGCGGACCTGAAGACCCGCTCTGGACTCCCTCTATCTGCAGGAGAGAGCATTTCTCTTTCTTTTGCCTATTAAACCACCACTGTTAACTTCACTCCGTATGTGGCGTCCTTGATTTCCTTGGCGTGGGACAACGAAGCTCGGGTATTAGCCCAGGTGAATGACACCACTTGAATTCTTTTATAGTAGGAAATTGGAAACAAACAAAATGTCCATTATCAGAAGAATGAATAAATAAATTGTCTATATAATGGAATGCTAAGTAACAGTGCAAGTGAATGAGCTAGAGCTGTCGTTGTCAACATGGATAATTCATACAATGTTGAATGGTAAATGTGAACTTCAGAAGTACACATGTGGTATACTGGTACTGGTTCTAGACTGGTGCAAATGGAGCCCCTGTCGCGGGTCCCACATCTCAGGAGCTAGGGCAGAGCTTGGACAGAGACTCAGATGACTAGCCTTCCTCTCCACCCTTTGCACAGCGCCTGAGGTTGACCAGATGCCCCTAGCAGTCCTGGGCTGTGCCTTTAGGTGCCAAATCTTGGTTCCAGGAAGAACTGTGAGCAGATTGCTCCTGTTGGCTGGCGCAGTTGGCTGGTGTTCCTGTTGGCAGATGGCATAGCACAAGATTGGGCTGCCAGAATGGTACTAATATGTAGGTTTGGGCAACTCAAATTGTTTATATAGACAGGCGCCCCCACAAAAAATATTTGCTTATGACCCCACACACCTTTGGGCACATAAAGCTTAAAAATGTGCAGTATAGGCCGGACACGGTGGCTCACGCCTGTAATCCTAGCACTTTGGGAGGCCAAGTCGGGCGGGTCACGAGGTCAGGAGATCGAGACCATCCTGGCTAACATGGTGAAACCCGTCTCCACTAAAAAAATACAAAAAATTAGCCCGGCATGGTGGCGGGCGCCTGTAGTCCCAGCTACTCGGGAGGCTGAGGCGGGAGAATCGCTTGAACCCGGGGGATGGTGGGGGGGATGGGGGCGGAAGTTGCAGTGAGCTGAGATCCCGCCGCTGCACTCCAGCCTGGACCAAAGAGCAAAACTCCGTCTCAAAAAAAAAGAAAAAAAGAAGTCCGTGGAAATGAGAATAATCAATTTAGGGTAGGAATTGTTACTTGAAGGGAGGGAAGAGATTAGATTAGGGTTAGAGTTGTGCTGGGAGCTGTTTTTATCATGTTTTATTTCTTAAGCTGGGTGTTAGGGGAGTAAAAGGTGCTGGTTGTGTTACTTTTTATGCCTTTGTGTATATTTGATTTTTTTTTTTTTTTTTTAAAGAGGAAGAAGTGAAGATAAACCACTCGAAGCGGGTGTCTGCGCTTCCGTGGTGGCTGGGACAGCAGCAGTAGTGCTGTCCATCTGCTCGGCCGGCCGAGGGGTGGCACATCCTAGCCTCTATCTTTTCCCCAGAGAATATCCCTCTCTGCGCTTCCCCCATCTCAGCCTTTTGGTGTGTAAACAGTTCTAGTGTGACTCATTGGTGCTTGTGTTAGCCCCTTTACCAGCAAGTACTTGTTAAACACTTAAATCTTACAGATGGAAAGAAAATTCCATGGTAAATTTAAGTATAAAAGTCAACCAAAATTCTGAGTCTCGGACAAGACTGGTTAAAAATCGTTCTACAATGAAACTAATATATTAAATTCAATCATAGAAAACCTTCCTTGCTTTGCAAGGAACCTTAAGTATTTAAATGTAGGCATTTTCATCTGGTGATTCTTCCCAGTCTCCTGTGGTAATAATACCTGGACAGGGAAGAAACCTTTTGAGATAAATAAACTCTACTGGGAAATGGGCGCTTGCTAAGTTTCCTGTGGCAGTGACGCCTCCTCTGTTGCAAACATGCCAAACCCGTTCTACAGGGTGCTTTGTACCTTTCCAGAGACTGATCAGTATCAGCTTGCCAGGGCTTTAAACCCCATTCATTCTTTCATTACTTAAAAGCCTCTTTCTTTGGAAAACCTTTGAGTGAAGCATAAAATTAGCATCTAAAAAGACATAGCAGCAACTGAACCCAGGAACGTTAGGGAATATGTGACCACCAGCACCATTATTGACCTTCCTAAGTGCAGTTTGATGTGGGAAGGGGCTGTGCAGGTGGGAAAAGGTGGCCGAGATGGAGGTCCCCAGGCAGGGGCAGTCGCCTCTCTGGCCTGAGCCCGAAACTCCCAATTCTCATGGGTGGCTGATGAGAGAACCCCTCCCCTCCTTTGTATTTAATCCTTTCTCTAACTCACTTCTAAGCCGACATCAGCAAATCTTTGAAGAAAAGCACAGGGGAGGCCTGTTTCAGTGACTTTCACTTCTCTAAATGTTTGTTCTTTTCAGTTAGGTGTAAAATATGTTTGAATTATATTTTCAATTCTCTTTCACCACTGTTCTATAAAATGTGAGCCTGTAGGCATTGTTGTTTTAAGTGAAAAAGAAAAGATTGATTTTAGGAATCACATGCAAAGTGTTTGTTGAATCAGGGCTCAGCTTAGCATTCAAGAACATGACTGGGAAGTTTCCACTTCGTTTTTGCCCTAGATTCGTCTTTACCTCTTTTGTCTCCTATATTTTTCCAGCTCTGTGGATTTCTTTGAAGAGGGCTATGAGGATTGAAGAAAGAAAAGCTTTTCTCCAGTAATTTATAATTATCCCGTTGGACGCTTATGAAGTATTTTTTGTATATTTAACCCCTCAGAGAAAATCTGAGCATATCTCTACCCTTAAAAAGTCTGGTAGCCTGATGGCGGGTGGCGGGGAGAGAAGAAATCCTGTTTCTCCTTTCCCTGATTTTGTCCCCAAACTACATCTTGCTTTGAAAGTAGGGGAGTTGGAAGGAGAGGAGTTAGCCTCTTATGGGGGCCCTGGAATGCAGCTAGCTGCCAATCTTGGTGTGCATTTTGTCAAGAATGGCTGCTTTCTAAAAACAAACCAACTTTCCTTGATCCCTCAGGTCAGGGATCTGGGAGAGACTGGATGGTATAAAAGGGGTTTCCAAGGCAAAAAAGCATTGTTCTCATGGGGCATTTATGGAGGATGTTGTCAGTGGGCACTTGGAAGTTCTAGAAGTCATGTGGGGCACTGGCGTCTGCAGTTCCTGGTGTGCTCAGGACATTCTGTGTCTGCATAGAGGGTTGCTGCACAATGGCTGGCCAGCTCATACCTGTACAATTACTTCTAGCACCTTGGCAAGCAGGAAAGGGATTACAAATATACCAACAGGGTAGGCGTTTGCTCTGGGGAAGAGGCTGATTTGGGGTGAATAGTTCGTACCACAGGAAGCCTGCTGTGTGTGGTGGGCAGGTGACATTTGGACTGGGCTCCTGGTGGCTTTTGGCTCTCTTCCAGTTTGGCCTAACAATGAAATTACACATTGAAGGGGTTTGTTACTGTTGACCTTTATTCCAAAGCCGGGCTTCTTGGTAAAGGCATCCATGTTCTCCATGTCTACACTTCCTCATCCCCCATTCATTCCCCATCAGCCCACAGTTTGCTTTCAGCCTTCATGGCTCCTGGGAAATGTCTTCCCCTCTGCTGCCATCCTGGGGCCCCTCCCGAGGCTTAGTCTCCTTCCTTTTCTGCCCAGAGCTCAGCCCCTTGGCTGCTTTGCCACCTCCCTCCTCTAAAGTCACCCACTTTGGGAGCTTCTCGTTTTTCTGCCTCTGCCTCCTTTGCCCTTCCCTTATGTTTGGTTGTTCCCAGACTCCTGGGACTTAAGTTCTACCATTTATTACCATTGAGGCCTGGGCAGGTCATGTAACTTGCTTTAACCTTAGTTTCTTTCCCTGTGAAATGGGGATAATACAGTACATACCTCATTTGGGGAAGATGCAATGGGACAATACTTATAAAGTGATTTACATGGTGTCTTTTATGGAGCAAGTACTTACTAAATGCTAGTTAACATCACTGTTACTCCTTTCTCACTCTGCCCACTGTCCACCCACTGCAACCAGAGGCCTTAACAACTTCCATTCTTTGAAAGATTGCCCTTCAGCCTAGCCCTTCCTCCTCAGTCTACACCCCAGGGTGCTGAGTATCTCCAGCACCATGAATATTGCAGAGCAGTGAGTAATACCTGTTGGGTTCACTGGACCCACTTCATAGGCCCCACTCCCTGTGCTCAGTGAGCAATAAACTTGTCGTAGATTCCACACTGTTTAATAGAAGAAATAGTGCTGATCATGGCTGTGCACTTTGTTCACTATGTAAAGGTACTTGGGAGAGCACAGCTGACTGGAGAGTATATGGTAGCTGGGGGGCCCAGGAAGAAGGTCTTTCTCTATCTCAGGCCTTCTTTGAAACTCAGATTCATTGGAAGACTTGCTAGTGTCTTTCAGGGCTTTGAAGTTACCCAACAACCTTTAATTGTGTGCATTGCTTTTTTTTCTTTTGAGATGGAGTCTTGCTCTGTCATCCAGGCTGGAGTGCAGTGGCATGATCTTGGCTCACTGCCTCCGTCTCCTGGCTGGTCTCGAACTCCTGACCTCAGGTGATTCACCTGCTTTGACCTCCCAAAGTGCTGGGATTACAGGCCTGAGCCACCACACCTGGCCTGTGCATTGCTTTTTTTTTTTTTTTGGACAAGGTCTTGCTCTGTCACCCAGGCTGGAGTACAATGGTACAATCTTGGCTCACTGCAACCTCTGCCTCCCAGGCTCAAGCGATCCTCCTACCTCAGCCTCCCAAGTAGCTGGGACTACAGGCGCACACCACCACCCCCAGCTAATTTTTGTATTTTTGTAGAGATGGGGCTTCGTCATGTTGCCCAGGCTGGTCTTGAACTCCTGAGTTCAAGCAATCTGCCTGCCTTGGCCTCCCAATATCTAGTATTTTTCTATGATGCGAGATACAACCTCCCATCTGTGATTGTTGTGATATAAATATAAACATATTCGGTATGGAACCCAGGCCTGAAACCTAGGTTCACCATTGTTTTGTCACCTTGTATTGTGACTGCCACTCCTCGAGCTGGCACCCCCCGCACAAATCACATGCTCTCTGTGCCGAGGGCGGAATCTGCTGGTTCCTTCTGAGTGTCAAACTCCTAGTCCCCTGTCCCCTTGGGGCCAGCTCCCTTCTTTTTGCTGTTGGGACTGACTGCGCATCACAGCTTCCAGGGCTGCCGCTCAGGACCCTCCCCGTGCTCTAAGGAGCTGCCCTGCTCCTGGCATTCTGCTGTCTTCCCTTCAGTCTCCTTGAATTGTGGGGAAATAGGCAGGCGTTTTATAGCCATTTACAGCCAGGCACAGTCCTTCTAGCCTTTTGGAGAGAGGCCTGTCTGTGAGGAGAGGAGATGTGTGACAAAGATTCTATCCTTGACCAAACTCTAGCCCAGCCTCCTCTGAGCTGTTTTTCAATGAGGCTCTATCCTTAGACATATCCTTTAAAATTGGGTAAGAATCCTGCTAAGATTGGGCAAGAATCCTGCTAAGTCAGTTTAGTCGGAATGCGCCACCCTCAACAGTGGATCACCCTCCATATCTGACCAAATCCTCGCCTCCACCATAGCCTTGGCCTGCCTTCAGCAAGAACCCTCTTAGTTCAGTGTAGCCAGAATCCCCATGACCTGTTTCATCTGAATCATTTTCCATCCACCGAGCCTCCTACCCTGCTGCATGGCTAACAACTCCCACTTTCCCCTGTCTCTCTGTCCTGCTGCACAATCCCATTGTGGTGGTCCCTGTTCCTATCATGATAGTCCTGAGTAAAGTCGTAAAGTCTGTCTTTTAACAAGGGTGAGGGCCAGTCGTGGTGGCTCACGCCTGTAATCCTAGCACTTTGGGAGGCTGAGGTGGGCAGATCACCTGAGGTCAGGAGTTCGAGACCAGCCTGGCCAACATGGTGAAACCCCATCTCTACTAAAAATACAAAAGGTGGTGCACACCTGTAATCCCAGCTACTCAGGAGGTTGAGGCAGGAGAATTGCTTGAACCTGAGAGGTGGAGGTTGCAGTGAGCTGAGATTGAGCCACTGCACTCTAGCCTGGGTGACAGAGGGAGACTCCATGTCAAAAAAAAAAAAAAAAACCCAAAAAACCAAAAACACAAAAATAAGGGTGAGAATAATCTTCTCTTAACATGTGGGTGGACCACTGCTGCAGGCCACGTGAGATGGGAAAGCTGGGCGCCTGTGTCCAGTTTTCCCTGCTTTCCCATTGAGGGCTTCCGCAGGGATGTAACAACAGGAGAAGCTACAGACATGTCATGATTTCCCTTGTTCTTTGGGAAATCTGAAAGAATGAATCCTTTCCGAATCCCAGAAAGGCAGCCAACCTTTGAGACCTTGAGGGTGGACTGCAAAGTTCACATCTCACAGGGGCCAGGTAGGTTATGTACATTTGTAAAGTGCTCCTGGTGCTACGAAAGGGAGGAGTGGAGACTGTGGCAAAGCAGAGAACACATGTCCCATGGAACGCTGTTGGTCGGCTCCAACCAGTTACGGCTTCTGGGACTGTGGGCCTGGTGTTGTCAGTGTACCTGTAGATAGGAAGTTGGGTTTTTACGTGAAAATTCTAGATTTTGTAAAGTGTTGGCTAGTAGTAAAAATAGAGTATGGCCAAAACAGCTCAGAAGTTTGCCCTCAGGCATCTGGTTTGTAATATCTGGGCTAGAGTCTCATTATCCCTCTTGTTGAGGGAGGGAAGTTATTAGGAGAAATTATTCCCACACCCCCCTCCTTCCACCGCCAATTGGAAGGAAGGAGGCTGCTCATGGGCAGGAAGAGGGAAGTGGTGCAACCTGGAGTCAAGGTGGATGGCTTGGGTTTAGGCCTTTGGAGGATTTCCTTGGGGCGGGGGTTGGGACAGTGTGCTGTGTGCCTGCAACGTCTTGAATGAGCGCCTGAGTTACCCCTGGAGAGCTGCCAGCCCCACCTGAAAGCCTGGACTTCTTGGCTCAGGTCTTCATGTGAGGCTTAGCCAGGAAGAAGGGGTGCCACCCACCTTTGTGATGCCACATGGGTCATGCCAGCAACCCCAGATCCATAGGCCCTTCCTCCAGTTGGACTTCTGTGGACTGCACAGGCCCAGGAGTTCCTACATGAGCCCAAGGGATGTGAAGAGTGGAATCCCCATAACATGGCTCAGACTGAATTATCTGCCAAGTCGGGGACTGAGGGCCAAGCCATGTTTAATTGATTTAGAAAATGAAGAGATGGAGGCCGGGCATGGTGGCTCACACCTGTAATCCTAGCACTTTGCGAGGCCGAGGCAGGTGGATCACAAGGTCAGGAGTTCAAGACAACATGGTGAAACCCCAGCTCTACTAAAATATGAAAATTAGCCGGGTGTGGTGGCACACGCCTGTAGTCCCAGCTATTCAGGAGGCTGAGGCAGGAGAACTGCTTGAACCCAGGAGCCAGAGGTTGCAGTGAGCCAAGACTGAGCCACTGCACTCCAGCCTGGGCGACAGAGCAAGACTCCGTCTAAAAAAAAAAAAAAAAAAAAGAGAGAGATGCAAAAATATCCCGGGTATCTTCATATGTCAGTATATATGTGTGTGTTTAGTACCTCCTGGTTGGGACCCAGTTTGAAAGCCTGAGAGTTCTGGAGATGTGGATGCCTGAGAATCACGGTTTTACTAGGCAAAGATTTTCTCCTCTTCTCAAAATAGCTGTAGTTATTAGACATCCTAGGTATTTAGGTTCCATGTCACTTTCTCCAGTTGGGGCAGGTTTTAGGAAATTGTGCAGGTGCCTGGTTTCCTTGTACAAACACATTTGCTGACTTACCCACTGATGTCGGAGCCGCTAAGTTTTCATGACTCTGTCATTGACTTGAATACTTCCTTTTCCCTTGACTGAGTCTCCCCTTATGAACTTTGGATGTTTAAAATGGAATTTAGTGATGTTTTCACACCACATTTTTCATTATTTAGCACTTTGGAAACAGAGGTTGTTTTGTTATAAGCTTTTTATTCTTCTTAACCTCCTCTGAATACTTGAAACCTTTCACAACGGAAATGAGTTTACTGTGACCTGAGTCGGTATTATACAGTAAATGCATGATTCTCAAAACACACTGTTTATATGGAGAATAAACGTGGTCCGGAACACAGTGTTCAGTGTCTGAAATGAAATGCAAGTCTCCCGTTTCCCAAGGCTGACAGGGTGGTTGCTGAATGATATTCCAGCTGTTTAAATGAAGGGCCCTGGAAAGGTTTGTTGGAAGTGAATTCAAGGGCGTTGCCTCTTCGTGGTTGGGTTTGCTCTCCGCAGACCCAGGAATGCCCTACTTTCCTTGAATTCTGAGCTTCAAAGCTTACATCAATGTCCATCTGCTTAACAACCTGTTTTAGTAACCAAGTATACCAAGATGTTACTGTCACATTAAACTGTACTCCTGCACCCTTTCCTTTCCTTCCCTTCCCTTCCCTTCCCTTCCTCCTTCCCTTCTCTTCCCTTTCCTTCTTTTTTTTTTTTCTTTTTTTTTTCCAGTATCTCACTCTGTCACCCAGGCTGGAGTGTAGTGGTGTGATGTCAGCTCACTGCAGCCTCCACTGCCTGGGTACAAATGATCCTCATGTCTCAGCCTCCCGAGTGGCTGGAAATACAGGCATGTGCCATTATGGCCTGGCTAATTTTTGTGTTTTAAATAGAGATGAAGTTTCACCATGTTGGCCAGGCTGGTCTCAAACTCCCGGCCTCAAGTGATCTGCCTGCCTCGGCCTCCCAAAGTGCTGAGATTACAGGCGTGAGCCACCGCGCCGGCCTGTACTTCCTTTCTTGATCACACCACCACAGTCTTGACTTGCAGGTCAATCTATACCTTATTTGACATAAAATATTGTCAGCAAGTCTAATGGAACATTCCACCAGAGTGGGAAACCCATCTCCAAGATGCAGTGGTGAGCTATTAATTAAAGCTGGCTCGTGCCCTCAGAGCAACTTTCTTTGATGCTGCTTGTGACAGGTCAGCATTTGCATCATATGCCCAGCGGAGCCTGCTCTGCCTGGCGTTATCACTTGTCCTTTAGGGACGGTGTGGCCTCTTTCTTCATGGCTGTGTTAGATGTCATCCAAGTGAATTGCTTCTTTCTCTTTCCTGTTTATTTGTTTTAGGGTGTCACCTCTTAGCCATCTGAGCACTGGGCTGGCTGCCAAAAAAGAGGTGATGATGTAACGGGCCAACTCCCATGTGGCTCAGAGTGGGGGGACCCCAGGACTCCAGGATGGGACAGGGCAGCCACTTCTCACCAAGGTGACACTGGGGCTTCTGAGTGAGCCTCTGAGTGGGGAATGGGGGGAGGGGCAACATGATGGAGGGGTCAGTGACACACCCCTGCCCCCATGAAGAAAGGATTTCTGCTTTGAAATTCCTCTACTAGAAACTACTTCCTTCTGCTCAGTTTTATTCCTCAGGAAGGGATGTGTGCGTGTGTGTGTGTGTGTGTGTGTGTGTGTGTGTGTGTGTGTGTGTGTTTTGACAGTTCTTTCTTTATTTTTTTGAGATGGAGTTTCGCTCTTGTCACCCAAGCTGCAGTACAATGGCGCGATCTTAGCTCACTGCAACTTCCACCTCCCGGGTTTAAGCGATTCTCCTGCCTCAGCCTCCCTGAGTAGCTGGAATTACAGGCATGCGCCACCACACTTGGCTAATTTTGTATTTTTAGTAGACGGGGTTTCTCCATGTTGGTCAGGCTCGTCTTTAACTCCCAACCTCAGGTGATCCACCCGCCTTGGCCTCCCAAAGTGTTGGGATTACAGGCATGAGCCACCGCACCCGGCAAACAGTTCTTTCTTCAAAAGTGTTACATATTTATTGTAGAAAAATTTAAAAATTCACAGAGGCAATAAGTCATTAAGATCAATCAAGAACTATATACATATAATTACTATTTAAACCTGAGGGGCGTGTGTGTGTATGTTTGTGCGCGTGCACACATGTGTGTAGAGACAGAATTTCATTTCTGTTTTTCTTTTTTTTTTTTTTTTGAGACGAAGTCTTGCTGTTGCCCAGGTTGGAGTGCGGTGGCACAATCTCGGTTCACTGCAAGCTCCCTCTGCCTCCTGCCTCAGCCTCTGCAGTAGCTGGGACTACAGGTGTCCACCACCACGCCTGGCTAATTTTCATACTTTTGTAGAGATGAGGTTTCACCATATTGGCCAGGCTGGTCTCGAACTCCTGACCTCAGATGATCCGCCCGCTTTGGCCTCCCAAAGTGCTGGGATTACAGGTGTGAGCCACCGCACCAGTATAAAAACTGATATCATGTAATACACACATTTTCAGTACAGTAAAAAAAAAGTCATGTGGTGAAGGCTTTTTCTTTCCGATAAATATCAATCTATGTCATCATTACATGGGTCCGTCAAAATTTGTTTAAATAAAAAAAAATTTAGTTTCCAGATTTATACTTGGGTGAACGTGTTTGAAGTTAATTTGTATTTTCTTCTTTTTGAGACATGGTCTTAAAAAAAAAAAAAAAAAGATGACTATTCAGGGCGCTAAACAGCCTGTCTGCTCCCTATTGCTAAAATAATCCAACACTAGTCTTTTCTCACCTAGGAGTTGCATACAATTTCAGCAAATGCAAGAGATCCAGAGCAGCTCTAATATTCACCACTTCTATATACCTAGTGCTTAGAATAGGCTCTTTTCCAAGTGCTTTATGCCTATTAATTTACTCCTCATGAAAGCCCTGAGAGGAAGGTGCTGTCACTAAAGCCCACTCCACTGCGGGGACACACGCACCCAGAGGCCAGGCAACTGTGAAACTGCCTTTGCAAAATTAAGACTGAGACAGCGAAAGAGATCTAACTTAACTAACTCCATCTTCCTTCTAACCTCCAAGCAGTCTTTGTTCATTCCTGAGCACAGACTGAACTAACAACTTTGGGAGAAACTTAGCTTATAGTTTATAGCTTAAAACAAAGACGGTAACAGCCCTTTCCCAAAGCAGACCTCCCTCTTGCCTGGGGACTAGATTGCCTTTGTGGGACTAACATTAGCCACGACATTAGAAATTATAGTTTAGGAGTCATGCAGCTGGAGGCTACAAGATTCTGACCCTCCGTAAACTGCTCCTAGAAATCATTGCTTGAGATATTTTGCAGACCCTGCACTTGACGGATCAGCTGGCCCCACCCCATCAGTAAACGGGCTCATCTGATCCTGTGGCTCCCACCCAGGAACTGACTCAGTACAAGACAGATTTGACTCCCTAAGATTTCGTTCCTGACCAGTCAGCGCCCCCGGCTCACTGGCTTTCTCCTACCCATCGAATTGTCCTTAGAAACTCTGCTCCCAGAATGCTCGGGGAGACTGATTTGAGTAATAATAAAACTCCAGTCTCCTGCACAGTCGGCTCTGCATGAATTACTCTTTGTCTGTAGCAGTGGATGAATTGGCTCTGTCTAGGCAGCAGGCAAGGTGAACCCCTTGGGCGGTTACAACTGGCCCATAAGTGCGAGGCTCATGAGCAGCAAAGCAGACTAGCCCCCCAGGCAGCTCGCTCTGACCGCTGACGCTTTCCCCTTTCCCGTAGAACCGGTGTGCAGCCATTAGTTCACACAAGTCACATGAAAGCCCCGTGTGTCCAATCGTGCAGCCGCTGTCCACCACAACAAATATGGTGTTGGTCGGAAAACAATAGCTCTCCCCTCAGACACACAGTGAACCTTCTCTTTCTGAATGTGTCCATTTCTTCAGTAACTACAAGAGGTATCTGCTATGTGCCAGGTGCTGTTCTAGAGACACATCGATATTCTTGTTTCTTTTTTTTCTTTTCAGAAGCCAGTTGGAGTTTATGGTTTCATTTGCCCAAAAATCCACCTTCGTGGACCTCAAATTCTTTCCAAGAATCACTACCACACATATTAATTTGAACATTCTCCACCCTTCCACCATCCCTGCTTCTCCTGGGAACTTCAAAATAAAAATGGCCCATGTGCCCCCACTCCAGGTCCTCGTGTAGGACTGTCTCTTCTTCTCTGGGGGCTGCAGTTCTGATGCGAATGATGGTGCTGTTCCAGTGCTGGGCCATTGCACAACACGAGTTTTGTTTCAGGAATTTTTTTATTTTTTTAGAGGGAGTCTTGCTCTGTCGCCCAGGCTGGAGTGCAGTAGTGCAACCTCAGCTCACTGCAGCCTCTGCCTCCCAGGTTCAAGCGATTCTCCTGCCCCAGCCTTCTGTGTAGCTGGGACTACGGGTGTAGGGTGCCATGCCCAGCTAATTTTGTATTTTAGTAGAGACGGGGTTTCACTGTGTTGCCCAGGCTGGTTGCGAACTCCTGACCTCAGGTGATCTGCCCGCCTCGGCCTCCCAAAGTGCTACAGGCGTGAGCCACTGCACCTGGCCTCCGGGCAGTTTTATAGAAGGCACCTGTTCCTAGCACCTCGGATTTGGACACCAAGCCACCTAGCTTCTCACCTCGCTCTAACAAAGAATCCATGGTATTGTGCAGAATGATCTGGGTCTCGTCTGGTTCGGCCTGCACTTTAGTCATGGGGTCAGCGTCTCGTGGGTTCTGGTATCTACTGAGGTGACCATCCAGGGATGCAGAATGGATTGTAGCAGGGGATCCTACTGGCCAGTCTTTCCTGTTGACTTGCTTGGAGAATTCATCTAGTACTTTCTCCAGCAAGGTAAAGGCCACCCGGGATGGGCACTCATTGTCAGTAATGACGACACCTGCAAGACTGTCATTCTGAACATAGACGTGCCACAGATAGTCTTGTTCTGCGACAGAAGCTCTAGTGCCTTTGGATGAGCGCTCCAAAATCAGTTGACTTGTGAAGGTCATGAATTCCTGAACGCTGGATCTCTGAGAAAAGCTGAAGGAAGCCACATCGTCGTACCCGTCTTTGAGCAGTACTACCTTGGCCTCGCCTTTGTAGAGGACACTGAGGCTGTACAGCTTCATGGCTCTGTGCCCTCAGGCCACCTGCCTGCCCAGCTGCGGGACCGCTCTGGATATTATGACTGTGGTATTAGGAATACCACATTGGTATTCATAATAGATGTATGCACAAGGCATGGAAGCTACTCAAAACACACAAAGATACCCGCCTCCTGGAGGGGATATTGCTCAGACCAGCAGGTAACAGGCCCTCGTATAAGAAACTAAGAGCTTTAGAGGGGCCCCTGCCTGCGCAGGCCCAGGTATAATTGTGATGGAGAAGCTGCACTTCAGTCCCTCAGCCAAAACCTCTCTCGGGTGCCTTTCATTTGATTCCAGCTGTCCTGTCTTCCTGGCTCCCAATGCGCTGTGCTGTCTTCCCAAGTTACTCCATTTCCTGATCCCAGCCCCGGACACTGTGCATCTGTCCATCCATCCAGTGAATTCTTTCAATCTGTCATTCAATCACCTCTTATTGAGTTCCTTCTTGGTGACAGGCACTGTGCTGGCTGGTAGAGATATACAGATAGACAAGGCAGCCCTTTGCCCGTGAGCCAGCTCCGGGACATTCGGGTGGAAAGCACCAGGTGTTGATGAAGCAGTCAATTAAGTTTGACGACATATTCTGTATTTGGAATGAAAGATAGAAATTGGGCTGGGTTTCGAGGCTTACGCCTGTAATCCCAACACTTTGGGAGGCCGAGGCGGGAGGATTGCTTGCTTGGGCCCATGAATTTGAGACTAGTTTTGGCAACATAGTGAGACCTGGTCTGTACAAAAAATAAAATAAAATAAAAAACTAGCTGGGCATGGTGGCATGCACCTGAGATGGGAGGATTGCTTGAGCCCATGAGGTCGAGGCTGCAGTGAGCTGTGATCATGCCACTGCACTCCAGCCTGGGTGACAGAGCAAGACTCTGTTTCCAAAAAAAATTGAACAAGTATTGGGTAACACCTTTAAAAAGAATGTCTGCAAAATTGTTTCTAGTTTCTCTGGGTTTCTTCCCATCAGGTAGCAGAATGTTAGAGTAGGAAGAGGATTTGCGAGGTCATCCAGCCAACCTCCTGGCTGCCTTACAGAAACTTGAAGATGGTCTCGGATTAGAACTCGCTCCTTAGATGTTTCAGAGACACAACCTACTGTGCACAAGCAGACTTGTCCAAATTGATGTTTAACATTGATAAGCTATACTATTATCTCTAACCAGTTGTTCCACACCCTGCCCCAATCACTTTTTTTTTTGTTTTTTGAGACAGAGTCTCACTCTGTCGCCAAGGCTAGATAGAGTGCAGTGGTGTGATCTCACCTCATTGGGACCTCTGCCTCCTGGGTTCAAGCGATTCTCCTGCCTTAGCTTCCTGAGTAGCTGGGATTACAGGCACCCGCCACCACGCCCACCTAATTTTTGTATTTTTAGTAGAGATGAAGTTTCACCATCTTGGCCAGGCTGGTCTCAAACTCCTGACCTCAGGTGATGCACCCACCAGGGCCTTCCAAAGTGCTGGGATTACAGACGTGAGTCACTGAGCCCAGCCCCCCATTACTTTTAATGTAGGCAAATTCGTAGGAGCTTTGAAATATACAGTCAGGTGATGCTTCACTATGGGGATATGCTCTGAGAAGTGTTAGGTAATTGTGTTGTTTTGGAAACATCATAGAGTGCATTTACACAAACCTAGATGGTATCGCCTACCACATACCTAGGGTAAGTGGTAGAGCCTATTGCTCCCAGGCTACAGACCTGTACAGCAAGTACTGAATACTGCAGGCAATTGTAGCGCAATAGGAACTATTTATATCTTCAAACATATCTAAACAGAAAAGGTAAAGTACAAATATGGTAACGTAATCTTAAGGGACCACATAAAGAAATGACTGGCAAAGTTACATAAAAATGCCCTTGGCAATTATGCATGACTTGACCTGCAGTAACTACCGGGTCCCACATAATGAGCGGAAGGTCAGGCACCCTACTACAGCTCATAATTCACATGGGTAATTTGATGTAGTTGTTAATGGTCTGCCATAAAAAAGAGTCATCATCCTAAGAGCTCCAAAGCTATTTCTATAACTGATCTTTATCCTAGCAGTCACAGCTGAACACGCCCACATGGATCCTCAGTGAAAGGCAAAGTTAGAAGCTGGCAAGCTCTCCACTAGTTGCAATCACGCTGATCTAAGATGAATCCTTTTATTGGAAATCTGGTGGGCAAAGTGACAGAAGCTCTCTTTTCCCTGGGAAATAATATAGCTTCTAGGTAATGTGTACATTATACAGCCCATAATTCCTGGCCATGCTTTGCCCTAGGGTTGGGGAGACACAGTGGGAGAGAGAGAGGGGGAAGGGAAGGGGGAGAGGGAGAAGGAAGAAAGAGGGAGGGGAAGTGGGTGGAGGAGGAGGAGTGGGCATGAGGGGGAAGAGAGAAGGAAGAGGAAGAGGAGAGGGAGAAGAGGGAGGGGAAGTGGAGAAAGAAGGGGAGGAGAGAGAGAAGGAGGAGGAAGGAAAGGAAAGGGACAAGAGGGAGGGATGACAGGGAGAGAGAGGGGCTTCAAACAACCTTCAATGCACACAGAATGGCCCCCTGCTTCTATTTCTTTCTTTGAACCAAGAATTTAACTCAAAAAGAATTTTAAGGCCCAGTGTAGTGGCTCATGCCTGTAATCCCAGCACTTTGGGAGGCCGAGGCAGGTGGATCACTTGAGTTCAGGAGTTTGAGACCAGCCTAGCCAACATGGTGAAACCCTGTCTCTACTAAAAATACAAAATTGTACTGGGGAGGCTGAGGCAGGAGCTACTGGGGAGGCTGAGGCAGGAGAATCACTTGAACATGGGAGGCAGAGGTTGCAGTGAGCTGAGATTGCGCCACTGCACTACAACCTAGGCAACAAAGTGAGA